CACCCACCAAATGGTGAGACCTTGTGATTTCCTCCCTGCCCATCCTCACCCCCTCTGCTCCCATTCTCCTCTGCTTGGATCCTCATACACGTTTTACTAGTTATCTATTTCTACAATAATGGTCCTACGCAGAATTAGTCCTTAGGAGTCCAACTTAGTTCACTCAGCATAATGCTCTCCAGTACTCCAAAGTTATTTAATTTCTCAAATCATTGCTCCTGAGTGCTGTGTAGTATTCCATCGTGTGAAAGTACCACAATTTCTCAATCCATTCAATTGTGGTTAAATATCTGGGCCGTTTCCATGTTCTTGTGATGGTGACGAATGCTGCTATGAACAATGGCGTACAAATCTCCATTTGTGTCTCAGTTCTAATTCAGAAAGGCCATTTTCTTACATTACAGCAGTGCATATTCTAGTATGGTCACCACAGATAAGCCAAAATTACCATGAAGCACATTATTTCATCAAATGAGTAAGATAAAAACCTTACTGCATAATAACTCTACTCTCTCCAGTGTTCTTGAACAAGAGACAAGATATAATAAATTTAAAATAAAATACAACAACTTTAGATTCTGATGTCCAATCTACCACACAAAAGGAATTACTATGCCAGTTGGGTGTTGGGAGGGAATGGGCAGCTGGGTTAAAATTGTAACCTGAGTCTGTGAACTATTTAACTTGAAGAGCAAGAGTTAAAACAGAACACACAGCTAGAGACCACTTACAGTCAAAAAGTAACACCCATAAAGAACATTTCTCAGAACATTCAACTATTTAAGATCAAAATGGTAACATTTGTTCAGAAGCCAAGAAGACAAAAATGAGCTGGGGGAATAGAAACAAGGAACTCAGGGTAGATCTGGGGAAAAGGTTAACACATTGGGGGATCACAACCAATGTCACAGAATGATCCATATATGAAATGTTTAATAGAAAGCTAATTTTCTTTGCAAACTTCCACCTACCCATAATAAAATGTTCCATAAAAAAGAGAAAGAGAAGGATTGACGAAACTTTAGTTATTACTGTTATGTACCATCAATTAGGAACAACTCATGTATGATCCTACAGCAGGTTTTTAGAGGCTATAAATCTCATGGGAGGAGAGCTCACCTTTCTGCTGTGGAGCAGCTGGTGGATTCACACAATTCCTTAAGAGCATGCCACAATAATAAATGATAATAAAAATGGTTTAAGTGGTTATGTGCCACTGAGTTGGTTATAACTTATGGTAATCCTATGGACAACAAAATGAAATACTCCCAATGCTGAGACATCCTCACAGTCACGGGTACTTTTGAGCGCACTGTTGTAGTCAACAAATCTCACTGAAGGTCTTCCTAATTTTTGCTGACCACCTACCAATATTCCAAGGACTACTACGTATGGGTAACATGTCCAAGCAAAGACAATGAGATGAAGTCTTACCATCTCTGCATCTAAGGAACAATCTGGCTATATGTCAAATGTTGATTTGTTCATTCTTCTAGTAATCCTTTGTGTATTCAATATTCTTTGCCAACACCGTAATTCATATGTATCAATTACTCTTTGGTCTCACTATCTAGCTTCCAGATGCCTATGAAGTGAAAATACAATGTCCTGGGTCAGATGCATCTTAATCTTTAAACAGGCAGATCTGCTCAACATCTTTTGATTTCTTCAATTTTGCTTCCACAAGTGTAGATGTGGATCTAAAAAAGAAAATATTTGATAATGTCCATCTTTTCTCCATTTATCATGATGTTGCTAATATTGGTCCTGCTGTGAAGCTTTTTATTTTATGCTGAGGTGCAAGCCATACTGAAAGTCTTTTACCATCATCGGTAAGTGCTTCAAGTTTTCTCTGCTTTCAGCAAGCAAGAGTATGTTATCTACATACCACAGGTTAATGAATCCACCTCCAATTCTAATATTCTTCTTCATACAGTCCAGATTCTCAAATTATTTGTTCAATAGGCAGAATGAAAAAGAAAAGTGAAAGAACACATCCTCTAATGTACACTTCTTCTGATTTTAAACTATGCAGTATCCCCTTGTTTTCATGAGGAAAACTGTCTCTGGGTCTATGGAGAGGTTTTAAGAATCCATGATTAAGAATCTAAAATTCCCATTTTTCACAACATTATCCATCACTTATAATCCACATAGTGGAACTCCTTTCCATAGTCAATGAAACACAGGAAAGTATTTTTTTTTCTGATATTTTAAGCCAAAATTCAACTGACATTAGCAATGATATGATTCATTCCTTTTCTGAATCAGCTTTATTTTCTCGCTGTTCCTTATACTTTTTTTGAGGGGGGCAGTCCTTATACGTCCTTTTTAAAATGTGATTTTTTTTTTTAACAAAAGTTTCCAGAACGGTTGGCTTGTCATTCATTCATGGATATGCGTTCCTTATACTTCTTGAATATATTTCTGCAGTTGTTTTAAACTATCTTGAGCAAAAATTTAATTGCGTAGGATTGCAATAATATTGTTCAATAACAGATAACTCTGTCAGATCACTTTTCTTGGGACTAACTACAGACTTCTTCCAGTTAGCCAGGTAGTTATCTCCCTAACTTGTTGGTAAAGATGAGTGAATACTTACATTATTGTTTCCATTTGTAAGCATCTCAATTGCTATTTGGTCAATTTCTGGAGCCTTGTTTTTCTCTCATGGCTTAAGTGCAGCTTGGACCACTTCCTTCAACACCATCAGTTCTTAATCATATACTACCTCCTAAAATGGATGAATCAATTCTTTTAGATACAATGATTATGTATTTCTTTCACCGTTTGTGGTTTCCTGCTATGTTCAACGTTTGCTCAGAGAATCCTTCAAAAATGCAACTTGAGTATTCTTTTCTTTCAGCTTGAAAATGCCAAGCAAATTCTTTCACTTTGGTTTTCTAACTTTGGATCTTTACCTACTTCATTATAATACAGAAGTTTGTATTCTTGAGCCACTCTTTGAAACCTTCTGTTTTGTTCTCATTGCATTTCTTCTTTTGCTTTAGCTACTCTATGTTCAGGAGCAAGCTTCAGATGGTGGAATTCTCAACTCATTGCTGCTGAGTCAGAATCTACTCAGAGCTGACCCTCCATTGAGTTTCCCAGGAGGGAAATTGCACAGGACATCACATACTTCCCACTAGCAGATTGGAAAAACCAGAGATGCAGCCTTGGGGTTAGTAGAAAAACTCCCAACATTATGCTCCCAAGGTAGTGAATTGGTTAGAATTTATCTAAGCTTTTCATTTGCCAAACACTGATGGGTGCTATACAAAATGATTTCATGTAATCCTCTACAATCTTAAGTGATCAAGATCGCCATTTAGTAGGCAAAGAAGTTTAGAAAGTAATTTATTCACTAATTAAGGACACAGAGCTAATAAATGGCAGAACCACAATCCAATTTCAAAGTTTTATCATGCTAAAAAGTAAAAAGGGATTTCTGGATGGAACCAATGGTAATGTGCTTGAGCTACTAGCAAAAGGTTGACTGGCAGTTTGAAGCTACCCAGAGACACCACAGAAGGCTGGTCTAGCAATCTTCTTTTAAAAGGTGGTAACCTTCAAAATCGTAAGTAAACAGTTTTACTCTGTACACACGGGTCACCATGAGTCAGAACAGCAATTAACATTATTCCAAAGCTCAAGTTTTCCCCACTGCATGAAGAAGCTGTCTCTCAATAAAAATACGACATCAGCCTTAGGGATTAAAAAAAAATGTTAAAAATTAATTTCACCCACCTGTTTGGCCCACTCATTGGGCAGGTGGGGGAATGGAAAGACAGGACAGTAGGAGCTAAATAGCCTATAGTGGATATCTGAGAACAGATTAGTTCTAGGGGACAAGACAAAGCTAGGACGAGACGGAAGAAATGAGCCATATGCATCATAAGGCTGCAGGTACCATTGGTTTATTTGGAAATGGGAATATTCTCGACAAAATATAACATATTCTTGAGCAGATACAAGTCCTAAAACTACCAATCACCAACCAAGAATTGACCTTCGTGTTTTGTGGCACTACCATCATTCAATTTTCACTCCTCTGTTTATTTGTTCCCTATAAACTATACTTTCCCACCTCCTATCTCATCTATATCCTTTATTCTCTCAAGTTCCAGAAGGACACACCACACCCAGTTCTCTACTTCCCAACTTCTCCCACATTTTTTCCATCTCTCCCACATCCTGACATTTAACTTTTTTTAATCTGTCAATTTCAGAGCTTCTTGCACAAATAGATAGATAAATAAATAAATAAATAAAATCTTAACCCTTCCCAACATCCACTCCCAGCTTCCCCATCCCACAAATCTCATGACCTTCCAATCTTTCATGGCAGCTCAGAGCTGTGGCTCCCAGTCCCACCTGCCCCACTTTCCCTACCCAGAGCATTCCACCCCCTCCTACTCTAACCCTCAGGGACTCTTCCTCTCATCCTCCACCTTCCACTATTCCCTTCCAATCTCTAGGCTTCCCTCCCTTCAAACCCCCAATCACTCCAGTCCTTCCCTGTCTCTGTCCTCAACCTTCAAAATCCCCTTTCTTGACCTGACCAGCCTCACTTCCCTCAACTTCACAACCTAAAACACGAACTTCTTTCTTCTCTACCCAAAACCTCACCTCTTCCATTATCTAGTTCCTTTCTTCTCTATACCCCTCAAAACCTAATCCTTCCCTTCTTCGAGCCTCGTCTCAATTCCCACGCATGCCCCTCCGGGTCCAACCAAGCTAACTCCGACCCATCTTCTACTCAGCTCTCAAAGCCCAATTTTTACACACCATTGCCCCCTCACACCCGGATCTCCCTCAAGCCCATCTCTCACATCCCTATTTCCTCTCTCTTTCACCTTTCTCCCAGCCCACAGCCGACTCCCTCTCTCTCCGCAAACCTCTCACACATTCCCCTCCCCCACCCGGTCCCCCCAACCCTCCCCCGCCCCCACAAGCAGTCCCCGGTTCCGTGAGCGGCCCTGCCCGCGGCCACTACCTACCTGTGCCCCTGCCTGGGGCAGCAAGTGGTAACTCCCCAGCGGAGGCTCCCTCCTCCCGCAGCGCTGTCGAGAGGGAAGCAGCTTGGAGCCCGGGGCACAAAGCTAGAGAGGGTAGGACTCAGAGAGTGGAAAGAGGGAGGGGCCGGGGGCGACCTGGCGCCGTGGGACCGCGGGGCCGCCGGGGGGCGGGGGAAGGGCGGGGCCGGGGCGGCGCGCTTGCGCGGGGCCCGGCATGAGGGGCGGGGCCAGGATTGGAGGTGGGGCTGAGGCCTGGGACAGAGACCTGAGGGCGGAGGCCTCCGAGCCGCGAGAGGTGGGGACTGCGCGTGCGTCTTGTGTGAGAGTAGCTTCCCCTCTTCTCCAGACCTCAGAGTCAGAGCTTAGTTGGGGGAGGGTTGCAGCGTGTGTCCAGGTACTTGTCTGAAAAAAGACCCTTGGGCGGGACCGGGCAGCGGAGATCGTGAAAGAGAGTATGGAGGACGCGGGGCTGGCGAGAAGGGGTGACGCGAAGAGCCAGGGGTGGAGAATTCCTGGGAAGTACCGCTTGGGGGGCGGGGTCTGGGAGCTCGGGTGAGCCTCGCCAAAGGAGGGCGGGGCGGAGGAAGACGCCGTGCTGTATGGGCTTTGAGACCAGACCTAACTGGAGGCCACGGCGACCAGGTTGCAGTCCTGGGGTTGGGTAGTCTGCTGTAGTAAGTGAGAGCCTGGTTAGAAGAGGCAGACGGCGCGGGGGTGGGGGGTGATGGTTGTAAGGAGAGCGAGAGTGGAGGAGAGTTGTGAGGTGATGCTGGCGCGGAGGGAGACCACTGGACGGGGTTGTGGGCGTGGACTCCTGGAGGGGGGCGTACAGGCCAAGGGTGATGGAGAGTTGTTTTCCCCTCTAGGCCCTAGGTTGACAAGCACAAACCTTTTTCAATGGCTGGGCAATAGTATTTTGACCCCAGGAAGAGGGGGCAATTGCAGTTCGAGGTAAATAAAGATACCCAACCTGTAGCATCTCAGCTGTTGCTTAACCTTGACTGACTTCCTGCCCAGAGCATTCTCTAAAGATCTTCACGGAAAAATACCAATTTGCAGCCAGCTGCTTAACTGCTGCAACTCAGGCCCCATCTAGTTATGAATTACATTTGATGCAGGATGTAGGTGAATTTAATATATCGTGTGTATTTTGGCGCGGGACCTCAAAACTAGTAGTGATTAGACACCTCCAACGTCCGTGCTAGACTGAGAACTGGAGAGAGATTTTCCCTATTATTATCGAGTCTATTTCATATAGTATATTAGCATATTATAAAGTATGATTAACGCTATAAAATGAGTATATTAAAACATACCTTATAAAACTGGACAGTGTATTTTGGATATGGCTCCGTGGGTAAAGAGCTGCCTTTTCAACCCAAAGGCAGGTGGTTCTAATCCGTTAGCTAGCTGCTCCATGGGACAAAATGGACAGTCTCCTCCTCTGAGATTTACAGTATCTAAAAACCTATTAGAGGTTCAGCTATGAGACAGTTCTGACTCAATGACAATTTTTTTTGTTGTTGAGTGTGTACTAATACTATACAGGGATCTCTGATGGCTTAATGGGTAAGAAATTGCACTGCTAACCGGAAATTTACACCTCTGGCAGTTCAAATCCATCAGTGGCTCCAAGGGAAAGAAGACAAGCAATCTGTTTCTCTTGAGATTTACAAACCTCAGAAAATCCACTGGAGGGTTAGCTAGTATGTAGTTTACACTTAGTTGCTTATTTGTTCATCTTCCTTACCTGTGAGCTTGACAACGATTTTCTTTCATTTTCAACCGAGGCTTTGTTTTTTGTATTACTAACACAGTGCTTGGCATTTGGTTGGTATTTCATAAACACTGATGGCATGTAGTACTTCTCTATTGTTCTCTAAATTACGATAATTTTGCATTGGGGTGGGGGTTAAAATGCACTGTCTCTTTCTGTTAACTTTTTGAATATCCAAACATATACTTCATAGACATTTAAGTCAGAAATTAGCAAACATTTCTATAAAGCCCAGATACTCTGGTAGTGTAATGGTAAGGAGTTGCCCTGCCAACTCAAAGTAAAGTGGTTCAAATCCACTGCCTATTCTGTGGGAGACTGAAGAGCAGCCTCCTCCGTGCAATTTACAGCATCTGAAAACGCAGTGGAGGGTTAACTCAAACTTGACAACACATAACAACAATAAACATAGCCCTAGCTTCTCATCACAGCTCCTAACTTTCTTATTTTAGGATGAAGCCACAATAGACAGGACACAAACAAATGCATGTGGTCATGTTCCAATAAAATTTTGTTCGTTTTAATCATTCTTTGAATATAACCGTTCTGATGGTCAGTGGATAAGTAGTTGTGCTGCCAACACATAGCAAGTGGTTCCGATCCACCAGCTGCTCCAATGAAGAAAGATGGGCAATCTCCCATGCAATTTACAGCCTCTGAAAACCCACTGGAGGGTCAGCTTTGATGCGCTTCTAACTTAACAGCGTACAATAGCAAACAGAGTTCTAAGTATCTACTTAAAGTACTGTTACTTTTTTCCCATCTGATCCACATAGTATTTTAAGAAGTTTTGAAGCTTTTCTGAAATAATGATGACATTTCCCTAATTTTTAGTAATTCTATTGAACAAACAAAAATGGTTTGGTAAAATTTGAGAATTAGTATTGTACTCTCTCCAGTTTTAGTACTTTGTTGTTGATGTTTTCATGGCCACATTTCATAATGAAATTTAATAATTTTAGAATTTATGTGGAATTAACATCCATGTTTATCCATTTGTATAATCAAGACTTCTTTCTCCTCTTTAAACCAAGGATTAACAGTGTCCATCACAAGCAATATTTTGCTTGCCTGTGATATAATTGCTTGTTGTTGTCATGTGCCATCAATTAGACTGCTACTCAGAACAACCCAATGAACAATTGCTCTGAACCCTGCCCTATCTTGAGCTAACCTCACCATCACTGATGCATTGCCAAAATCACTGTGTCATTCTCATCTAGGGGCTTCCTTCTGTGCTGACTCTCCACCCTCCCAAGTATGTCCTTCTGAAGTATGTGAGACAGAGTTTCAAGATCCTTGCTTCCAAGGAGCAACTGGATTTCATTTTTCTCCAGGACAAATCCATTTGTTCTCTTGGTAGTCCATGGTATGTTCAGTACTCTTCTCCAGCACCACAACTCAAAGGCATTGATTGTTCTTCTGTCATCCCTAGTCACCATACAGCTCTCAGATGCTTAGCATGCAATTGAAAAGACTATGGTTTGGATCAGAGGTGCACCTTAGACTCTAGACTGATATTGTTGCTCTTTAACACTCTGGAGAGATCTTTGACAGCAGATTTTCTCAGTGTAACTCATCTTTTGATTTCCTGACTGTAGATGCCAAGGATGTTGATTATAGATCCCAGCAAAATGAATTTGTTAACAACCTCAATCTTTTCTCTATCTATCATGATGTTACCTATTGGCCTGTAATGAGGCTTTTTGTTTTCTTGATGTTGTGATGCAACCCATATTGAAGGCTGCAGTCCTTGACCTTCTGCAGCAAGTACTTCAAGTCCTCAGTTTCAGCAAGGACGGTTGTGTCATCTGCATAACATAGGGTGTTGAAGAGGTCCTTCAATCCTGATGCCACTATTCATAAAGTCCAGCCTCTCAAATGATCTATTCAGCATACAGATTGAAAAGGTATGGAGAAAAGATACAGCCCTGACATACTCCTTTCTTGATTTTGAACCATGCAGTGTTCTTTGCTCAGTTTGTACAGCAACTTGGTCTAGGTATATGTTTCACAATCAAGTATTCTGGGATTCCCACTCTTATCAATGTTAGCCACTATTTGTTATAATTCACACAGTTAAATGCCTTTGCATAGTTGACAAAACACAAATAGACCTCTTTCTGGTACTCTTATCTTTCAGCCATGATCCAGCCTACATTAGCAGTGATTTCCCTGGCGCCACAGCCTCTTGAAATACAGTTTATATTCCTGGCAATTATATGTTTATGTACTGTTCTAGTCATTTTTAATTGTCTTCAGTAATATTTTGCTTGGGTCTACTATTAATGATACTGTTTAATAATTTTCACATCCTGTTGGATCATCTTGTTTCGAGAATGGGAATAAAAATAGATCCTTCCAGTCATTTGGCCAGATATTGTTCAATAATTTTCATATTGTGTTGGATTACCTTTCTTGGGAATGAGAATAGATATGAATCTCCTCTAGTCAGCTGGCCAGGTAGCTGTCATTCAGATTTCCTGAAGCAGACTGGTGAACACATCTAGAGCTACATCTGTTAGTTAAAACATGTTGATTGGTATCTATTCCTGAAGGCTTACTTTTTGTCAATACCTTCAGTACAGCTTGCACTTCTTCCTTCGTTACTGGGTTGACTAGTTCTTTTTGATAACAGTGACTTTGTGTATTCCTTCCATCTTCTTTTGATGCTTCCTAGATCATTTAAGATTTCGTCCATAGCATCTCTCAGTATTGCAACTAGAGAGTTGAATTTTTTTCCCCCAGAACTTTCAGCTTGAGAAATGCCAAGCACATTCTTTCCTTTTTATTCTCCAACTTCAACTCTGCACATTCTGTCATAATACTTTGCTTTGTCTTCTCAAACGGCCCTTTGAAATCTTCTCTGTTACTTCAGCATCAGTCCCTTTGCTTTGACTTCTCAGTGTTTTAGTGCAATTTTCTGTTTCTTCTGTCATCCATTTTGGTCTATCTATAGTGAACTTTTCTGTTCTCATGGATGATTGATGTCATCCCACAACTTGTCTGTCTGTGGAGGTAAACATTAATAAATTTTTATCTGTACATTTGCCTGTTCTGGATATTTCATATGTAAGTGTGTTCAATTTGTTCCTTTTATTACTGGCTTTTTAAACGTAACATACTTTCTGGATTTATCTATGTTGTAGTGTAAACCTGAAATATACTTTTCTATATGACTGAATAATATTCTCTTGTATGTGCATTTATTACATTTATTCTTTCATCTATTGATGGATATTTCAGCCATTGTGAGCAATGCAATAGTGAACATTAGTTGATAATTATCAGTCTGGTTCTCCTTTTACATTCTTATAGACATACACCTAGGAGTGGAATTGCTATGTGACAGTAGTTCAGTGTTTTTACTGTTCTCCAAGGTGATTATATCATTTTACCAATCCTACCAGAAATGTAATGGAACTCTA